CTCGATCAAAAGATACACTGACAACAGCCCAACTTTCATAAATTCTAACGCAACGAAACCTTTATTTTCTCTTTTCTTCGCTACCCAGGGCAATATATTCCAATTCTGTAGTTCAATTCAAAATCCTTTGACATGCCTCTTTTTTTGAAAGATCGATCGCAAACTACGCTCTCTACAGTTTGTAAGGTTTTTTCCCTATTTTATTTTCTAAACTCCTCAGAGAACATCACTTTTGCACTAAGCACTTTTCTTCTAGACATCTGAAACAAGGAAAAGCGTATATATCTTTGTGAAAGTTTCTATGGAAAGTAACTTCGAACATCATCCGCAATTCTTATGTACTAAGAACATAGGCGCCATGATTCTTAGTCTTATGCGCATATGTTTCAATAAAATCAAAAGTATTTTCTGCATTTTAAGGTATATTTATCAATCATCAAAATTATGATTGCGACTTTCGAGCTCTTATGAGTATATATCCCACCCTTCCCTTTTCGACAGCGAGATGTCCAAAGCAACGTGAGATTCTGAGTAACCAATCTATGATATACACTGAACCATCTATTTCTCATTAATCTTCTTACCTAATTTTTTTGCACTGCTGGTTAAACACTTCTGTTTTGCGATTTTTTAGTAAAATATATGTGAAGCAGAATGGATGAGACAAATGCTAGCACTAAAAATTCCAAAATGCTCTAAAGGTACCTATTACATGCTCTTTTTCTCTCATTATATCTTTCACTAACGGTAAAAGCAAACAGGATGAGAATGAGCAGACATTTACCTTTTTTTTTCTCAGGACCATCGCTAGCAGTCAAAATCTGTTCGCTGCGACAAAAAAAAACTTTCTACCTGTCGCTAGCCAAATGGTTTTATTCACGTTCCCTGTTTTCACCGCAATATTCCCAGTTATAAACTACCAATTATCAATATAGAATGTCTGAGTTACTGAAATTATTGGGATGTCTTTGTAGAGGCTGAGGGTGACGCTCTTTACCTCTGCATTAGCGATGGCTCAGTGGTTTCGTTATTGCAACTGCTCTTAGTTAGCAAAATATCAGGAGCCCCAAATTAGGTTACGCTCAAAGGCGCGACCTGATAGCGAGAAAGAGAAAGCGAGGTTTTGGCAAATGCTAAAACAATACTACCAAAACTTCTATTAAAGAGTTGCGCTAACGAGCAAAATCTAAAACCTAGTGATTTTTGCATGAAAAAGGGTTAGTTTTTGATGCATTTCCGCAGTTGACGATAGTATTCATGGATAACTATAAGTCCGTTCTGGTGCTGTCAACTACTTCAAAATGCTGATGAAAGCAGAGGAAAGTTATTAGCAATTTTTATCACTGCAAAGGATAGTTGTGAAGTGTTTGTTGTTTGGGGTAAGGCAGACGTAAGAGCACTCAAAAAGTAAATTAAGTATAATTGGAGCCCTACTGCATAGAGGAGCCATTCTTGAATTCTGATATAAAATAAATCCCTATGACAAACATACAACACATTACACGAAAAGCACAAAAGCTTTCGCGTATAGAGCAATGTTAAGAGAAATTATGAACAAAAACAAAGTAGTAAAAGAGAAACCCCTAAAAAAAGAACTTACAAACGTTACCGATGCCCCAATTCATTAGAATCATGACGTGAAAGTAAAAAAGACTCTGAGAGTAACTTACCATCACTAGCTTCGACAGCTGACGCAAGAATAGAGTTTGAGGTTGGCTTTCCAGGAACCTCTTCCTTGACGACGGAATTCGCCATACACTTAAGTTCTTCGTGATCCGAAAGCTCAACGCTATCGGTTTCAGCATGAACAGAGTCTAACTTTTCTGTGTATGATCGATCGCCTTCCTCGTTAGCACTCGACAAAGGGGATCCCGTTTCGGTAGAAAGAACTTCTTTTGAATCAGCCGCAGAGGTTAAACAACTTTCCTTGCCGTTAGTGGAGCAAAGGAAGTAACCTCCTACGAAAAATTGGCAAGTCCTGATCGATTCCAGTAAAACGAATGCATCCTTCCCTGAAACGATTACATCAATCACCATATGGTTTATGCAATGGAAGAAAGCACTGAAGCAGTATTTAGTACAAGACAATAATTGAGCGCAGCTAACAGCCACTACGATATAGAACACTCTCGCTACATATTTTTATCCTTAGGGTTTAAAGAAAACAAATCAGGAATATGGATTAAAGGAATGAATAAACCAAGGTAAGATTGATGCAAGTTGATGCAGGTTTACACGCATCCACAATGTGTGTTACTCCAACAATCTAGCAATCAGATTGAGAATTCAACTTTATATCTCTCACATACACTCTGATACAAAGCCTCTAAAGTCGCCAAGCTTGAGGCATCCCAATCGACTTCAACGTCAAATTGCTTAACAGAAGAGAGTTTTGAAGAATTTTTGGTGATTTTTTGTCTCCCACGCATGTTATAGTTCGATTAAGAAAATCCTAACGGGACATGGTCCTATCTCAGACGTATTCATCAGATATTACCTAGATACCAAACGCTTTGATAGCTGACGCCTTAGCGAAAGATGATCTTCCTAAACTGGCCTCTCAAAATCAGATTTTGTGTTCGTTGCTGCCGTCCACCTCTAAGCTTTGCCGTACAAGGTTACTACTGTAAGTGTAACGGGCCAAAATATAGAAAATATAATCAATCTACAAGGAACAGAATTTTGAAAATTTCCCATATAACTTTTTGGACAACCTTATACATACATATGAATAAACATACATATATGGGATTGCATCCCTATGGAGTAAGTAATGTCCTCTGCAAAAGTCCCCTTGTAAAACAAAAACAAGATATAGTCTCACAAAAAGTTTGGATAAAAAGTTGTTTAGAATGACAACCCAAAGTTCGCATATTCAAGGTTCGTGCGTGCCTGTTGCTTACCGCTGACATACTACTAGAAGCACAGGGAAAATTGTATTGTATTGCGTAAATTGTTAACGACTCTTGTTATCCTTGATGGGTTTAGCTCTAACAAGTTAGCAAAGCCTCGACAAAAAGTAAACTTTGCAGATAGTCCGACTAGCCCTTTTTAATTACTACTTTTAATCAAGACTATCCAGTTTTACACAAATAAAAGTAAGTAGTTTTACGCATGTTATAAGAGCAAATTCAAGTGGAGAAAGTTCATATTCTTTGGCAGCCATTAGGAGATTCTGGAGCAACCAAACTGAAATTATACCCCATGACTGACAAAAGATCCATATATCAATAGTAGGTTGTTTATTGATTGTCTGTTAGACTATGACATTTTTTAAAGACAACAAGCTGCAAGAAAACACAAAGCTTTTACATACAAGGAATTCTAGATATATGTTCACTGCTTGACCGTTACTAATCTTCCAAATCCTTCATAGCCCATTTTGTGAGGCTATATTACGCTCTATTTTGACTATGAATGGATCTTGTGCCATATCCATTAATGTGAAATAATAGTGTGAAATTTTGCGCGAACTCAGGGCTGCCGTTCGGCATAAACTGTAATTTTGGTGCAAAAAATCAGAGTACCATATAATTGCCATAATTGGGCTAGTATTGAAAACTCACCTCATCCGGCGGATCTACAGCATTGCTAAAACTGTTTTTGATTCGCTAGAATTG